TTATTATTATTATTATTATTATTATTATTATTATTATTATTATTATTATTAAAATATGTTGCAAGACTTTGTTCATTCTGAGCCTCGGCTTTCCTAACTTCACGGCTGCAAGAGAATGAACCAGATCTCCTCTGACAGCAACAGGCAAGGACCATCAGGCAGCTGCCCAGGGAAGGTCAATCGTACTGGGACAGCTTTGGGGGAGAAACTGGCATAAGAGGAAGGAGATGGAGCAGCCATTGTGAAGAGGCTGGATTCACACAGCCCAACTCACCCCATCAGGATGGTGCTAAGTGGTCAAATTACCTAGAGTTTCTTGAGAGCAAAACCTGTAAATTTACCAAACAAATCAAACAAAGTCAAGTGGGTTTTCCTATGAGAATCTGGCCCAGATGTGAAAGTGCCGGTTTGGCGGTGGGGGCTCCCAGGCTAGGGAGCTTCCTGGGAGAATTTGGGTTGGTTCTGTGAGGAAAATTAGCTCTTGTATTGCACAGAAAGATAAAATTCCATAAATGCTGTAAATCATGTAATTCCCACCCATAGAACAAAGGGCCACGCAGCCTTGGGCATTGGCTCAGTCCTGAAACCAGCAACCAAACCCTGCCTCCCCTGGCTAGTCTACTTCGACTTTGCACAAGGTGGGTGTCTGATTCCAGGCATCTGAGTAGTAGCCTGGAACTCGACGACCCCTGCCCCTGGGCCAAACTCCGAAGGGAACCTTGGGGCTGCAGGGAGCTCACCTGCCAGCTGAGCTTCCTCTCCTGTGGGAAGCAAAGTCAAAGTGAGAAAGACCCCCCTTCTTGCCCCCATCTTCTAATCTAGAGCTACTCCCTCCCCTCCCCAGGAAGCTTCCAAAGCTGCAACCTGCAAGGGGGGTAGGGGTGCATGGAAGGCTCCCTTTTCACATCTACAGGCACATCTGCCACTGCTGCTGCTGTTGATGCTGCCCTCCCAACTGCTCAGGTTCTCCGAATGACTCCCTTCTAGCATTCATGGAATTAAAAATCGGGTTTCCTTTTTGGAAAAATCCCACTCTGACGGGACCCTGCAGGGTCCCCTGCTCCTCCAAAGGAACAGCCATAATTATGACTCAACAGAATGAGGGCAAGGAAAGGACCTCCGGGCAGTGTCTCTCCTTTCAAAAGCAGCTGCAAGCAGGGGCTCTCCATCAGTCGGCATGTGTGTTGGTTGCATTTTGGATCAACTAATATTTAAAGCTGAACATAACCATGGAAACAGAGAAGTACCTTTCTCTAAGGCACAGGGAGCGCTGGCAGCTGGAACCTATCACGGCAAGGACATATTGCGCAATGCCAACCCTTCCTTCAGGGTGATGTGACACAGGAAAGGCTAAGTGGTCATTTCTGCCGGCAAGACATGAAATGAAGCTACGGAGGCCAAAGTGGAAGGCTGACTAGGCACCTGTGGCCTTCGTGGGCAGGGATTGGGGAACAGGGAGAAAGAAGGTGGTCCAGAGAGCAAGGAGGTGGCAAAATTAGCCCCAGGAGTTTTACACTCCAGTGGTCAAGCTCTACTGACAATGGCAGAAAGATGAGACACAAATCTCCTGGATCTCACGTTAAGAGGTCTGCTGCAGATCCCTGGGGTGCCTCTGTAGTTCTTCTTGTGGAATTATAAATGCTCAACTGTTCAGCATGGTGCCTGTAGCACTCCCCTCTCTGAAGCTTCATGGCTGAGGTATTGAAAGGCAGGGAGAAACCTGGAGTACAAAAGCCAAGCCCCCATCCCTGCCAGTTGCAAGGGAGGAAGGGGTCCCCACTCTGAAGAGAAATCCCCTCCCCCTCAGGGGTATCCTCGGCTTCCAGGAAGCAGCGGCCTCCTCCGGAGAAGCCGAGGGCCCCCCTTCCCCCCCCCCCGCAGAAGGGCAAGGCCCTCCTGAAAACCAGCAGCCCCCGCCGGAGCCAGGGGAACTGGGATCGCAGCCGCCGGCCCAGCTGCCCCTCGCGCATCCTGAGCGGCTCCCAAGACAACAGCTTGGGATGCGCATCTCCCCTAAGGGCGCCACCCCTCCGCTGGCCTGGAAGAGAAGCTGCCGAATGGGAAAGGAGCCCGAGGGGCAGGTGGGACCCCCCCAGCCCAACCCCGCGGAGGGTGACTCACCAGCCCTGCAAGGAGAAGGCGGCGCCCCCCCCCTTATTTCAAAGACAAAAGGAGGAAAGGCCCATTCCGCGCTCTCTCCGGGGGCTGCTGGGGGGGGGGGGGCACACACAGCCTGGGATGGCACTGACGGGTTTTCAGCCCCCTTTGCCCAGCAAAGACCCCGTTCGGCTGCCAAGCCCCGGATCGGGCGGAGCCGCTCTCTGGAAAGCTGCAGGGACCCCCGAACGCCCTCCCGGTCCTCTTCCTCCGGCAAGGGCGGGGCGGGTGCGGGTGGGCAGCGGCCGGAAGGCGCCCGGCTCTCGGCCGGCTTTGCGGCTTTGTCGCGGGAGGGAGCGGCGCGTCTCAGCCCTCGCAGAGCCCTATGAGAAAAGGCGTCCCCGAGTCGCTTCTGCCGGGCAGAGGGAAGGAAGCGGCCGGCGATTCCGCCCCCCCAACCCCCTCTCCCCCCAGAAAACCTACCGCACATTTGCCGAGATGCCGCTGCGAAAGGGGCGAGGGAGCGGCCGCGCGGGGACCGTCCTGGCAGGTGCCAGCCGCGGCTAAGCCCCTCCTAGGCGGCCGGCGGCCGAGGCGCCCCTCACAGTATCCCGCGCCCGGCTCCCCCTCGCCTTGCTGCCGCTGCCGCAGCCTCCGCCACGCCTCGGCCGGCGCTCCTCTCCCGCACCGCAGAAACCAGCAGCCGCCGCCGTCGCCGCCACCTGCACCCGGCTCGGGGCCGCGAGGCCGGCGACGACAAAAGGGCGCTTCCACGAGCGCCCCCCGGCG